TAGTCTTCCAGCAGAATGGGACAGATGGCCTGGGTGGGGTGGGTCATGTAGATAGGCCCGTCGTAGCCCACCATCTCACTGAAGTAGGGGAGCGCCCCGCAGTGGTCCAGGTGGAAGTGGCTGGGGCAGGCAACACAGGTCAGCCAGGGCCACTGCTCCCCCACAGCACCCCCACCAGCAGCCGCCTTCACTCATGCAGGGCCTACAGTGTGTCTCCTATACACTGGGCAGTGAGAGGTGAGCAAAGCTGATAAACCTGCCATCCTCTGGACTCAGACCAGGCGCCCAGCACAGCAGGAAACACGTGGGACAGATGGCAATGCACTGTACCAAAAAAGGAGCTGGGGGCACAGGGTCTCAGGACAGTTGCCATCTTCACTGGGTTGTCAGGAAGACACTGTGGCATATGAACTGGGGCAGGAAGGAGGTGAGACAGCACCAGGAGGCCTGGAAAGGCACTGGGGCAGAGGGAACAGCAGGGCCATGCCCCCCAGTGGGTGAAGCAGACCCACCAGGTCTAAGAAGGAACTGAGGCCGCAGGAGCCTCAGAGCAGCTGAAGCCAGGCTGCCCTAGACAGGCTGCCTCTGGCTGGCGTATCCCCAGGTTGTGTGCTGCTCCGGTCACCTAGGTCCGTGGTGGAGGTCAGGGTCACAAGGGCTGGATCCCAGAAACTTTGGTGGACTGCAGGTGTAGTGGGAGGGAGGGAGGGGAGGGAGGGGCCCCATTCAGCCAGGCTCAGGGGCAGGGTGGATGTGGGTAAACGGGGAAGCGTGAGGATCCAGGACCAGCAGGAAGGGTGTGCTCACTGCTGCCGAGCGCCACCGAGAGGCTGTGAGGGTGCCCGAGAAGCAGCGTGGGGCCTGGCAAGTGAGATGCGCCATCGCTGCATTGGTGGGGCAGGTCCCTGCATGGGCCTGCTGCCCTAGCAAGGCCTCATCTTCCTGGGACGCCTGAGGCTCTCATCCACAACGCTCAGGGGCACGGACCACAGGCACTCACAGCACAGAGTGCCCTCCAGCCCCGTCAGCACTTGGCTGCCTGCAGCCTGCAGGGAGCAACCGCGAACATCTGCGACCTCACACAAAGATGTCCCCTGACCTCGGGGATGCAGAGGGCTGGCCCTGGCGGGGAGCCACACAGGACCCAGGACAGACCCCTGGCTGGCAACACACCACAGTCCGAGTGGCTCTCCTGGGCTCCTAAGGGTCTGGATGTGGAAGCTGGCACCTCACAGCACTATCCCTGGCCATGGCCACCCACCTGATGATCACACAGTCCAGGAAGTCGGTCAGCCGGCCATTGCGAGTGATGTAGGAAAAGTCAGGGAAGCGCCTCTGAGAAGCCAAGAGAAAGTGTTAAAACACAGCAGGCTGCAGTCTCCAGGCAACAGGGTAGCTGGTACTCTAGGGAGCTTCCCCCAGGACATACGGGGAAGTGAGGGTACAGGCTGAGCCTGGACACCAGGACCCCACCCAGGTGGGCTGCGCCGGGACAACTGACTGCTCACAGCCTCCAAAAGGCAGGGAGGGTCCAACTGCTGCAGCCAGCAGCCCATCCAGGGTGGGCCAGGCCTGCCCACACAACCCTGCAGGAGCCTGCTGGCTCCTGCTCTGGCACAGACCAAACCAAACCCCATGAAAGGTGCCCCACCTGTCAAGCAATGTGTGGGGGCTGCCCAGGAAGGCAGTGATCCCTGGCCCACCTGCCTATTGGCAGTGCCCACTTGCCAGACTCCCCACTCCATGGTCAGAGCCTGAGACTCCAAGGCCCAGGGTCCTGCTGCAGACAGCAACAAGGAACAGTGCGCGTGGGGGCCCTCCCCAGCCCTGCGGGGGCCCCCAGGGCATCCACTTAAGGACTCACGTCATCGTTGAAGCCCATGTGCATCCCGCAGTCCAGCATGACGTTCTTGCCCGCAATGGAGACGAGGATACAGCTTCGGCCCACATCCTGGCCGGCCCCTGGGCATGAGGGTGGGGTGAGAGGTGCCACCACACCCCTCTCCTATCCCTCATCCCTCCCCACTGCTGCAAGCGATAGCCCCAGTCTCAAAGCTAAGACCTGGCTGCCTGCCCCAGATCCCCACTGGGCTCTCTGGGTCCTTGGCCTTCTAGACTCCTCAGCAGGCTGGGGAATCTGGACCTCCGTGTGGATGACGTGTGAGGGGAAGCTGCCACCAGCTCCACATGCTGGCACGGGAAGTGCAGAGGTAGGGGTCAAGGTGTCTCCAACAGCAAGTGAGTCTTCCCTCGTGCCCTCCTCCACTGCACCTCCAGCCCCAGACCCTGCCACTACTGCCCAGGGTCAGATGGAAGAAGCCCCTCACTGGAGGTGGCGAGCCCACCCACTTGAAGGCAAGGGACTGAGTAACAAATGCTGGATCAGTGGCCCCAGCACTCACTGGAGGCAGGCCAGCCCTGCGAGTCTGCCCACCCCTTCTGAAACCTCAACTGGAGCCACATACGTGTTGTGGGGTCCCCTCCCTAGGACCTGCCTCTAAGAGGCATCTCTTGGTTTCACCACAGAGAAATGCCATGTGGCCTTAGCCCAGCCAGAAGGAAATGGCCCCAGCTGACCAGCAATGTCCCACCACTGCGTCCCCTCGGCCACCCCCCAGCCCAGACCTTAACCTGGGTCCCATCCACATTCCTAAAGTCCAAGCCCCGCCCAGCTGCTCCAGCCCCAGCAGGGCACATCCTGGCCACCTCATATGACCATATGTCACCTCCTCTGGGGCCTAGGGCCTCAGGAAGAAAGGGGCACAGCCTCGGGAGGCCAGATGACAGCAAATAACCTGCTTCCCATCTTGTTCCTATGAACTTTCCTCTGCTAGCCACCTGAATCTTTTGTTAGCACCACACACACCAGGGTGACTGGGCCACAGCCCAAGTAGGGCACAGGCTGGTCCTTGAGAAGTTGTAGTCGCCTGCAACAGTGGGTGATGCCAGCCCAAAAATTTGCCTGCATGCCTCGGGCAGCCCAACCTCAGGTGGTAGACTGGAGGTCTCCCACAGGCCTGCTCCTGCCCCCACCAGGCCATGAGCTCCCTGAGGGCAGATCTCAGCTGTCTGCTCACTGCTGCACCTCCAAACCCAAAGCCATGCCTGGCTCAGAGGCCCTCCAGACATTTGGGAAGGAGCAAGGGCCACCCTCTTTACAGGCGAGGATGGAAGCCATGGAAGTCATGGCATCAGCCTACAGGCACACAGCTCCAAAGTGTGGGGCCAGGGATGGTTTTCTCACTCCAGAACCCAGCTCTTAGACACCGGCTGCCTGCTCCCAACGGGACACACAACAATCCCAGGAAGCAAAGATAGTGGCCTGCACTGGGCAAGAGACATGGGGACAGAGTCTAGGGCACACAAGAGGCAGGACTCAGAAGAAGACAAAGGAGATGACCTGCCCACAGCAGCTCACGTCCTAGGGCTAGGAGACAAAGACAACAACCACACACTCGGTGCATCAGGCAGAGGTCAGCACCACTGAGGCAGGGAGGGGGACACAGAAACTTCCAGAACCATGACAGGTGTGTCCTCCCTGAGATGACACTTTCCAAGCAAAGTGGAGAGAGCAGCCAGGGAGGAAGAGGCAGCTGTGCAAAGGCCCTGTGGTGGGAGTAACCTGAGAGGATGCTCCATATGCAGCCCAGGTGACCAGGGAGCCCACGAGACAGACACTACCCAAGGGAGACAGCAGAGCAGCAGCAATTCCGCTGTGACGGTGCTGTGGCTGCGACCTTGGGGTACCGAGGTGCAGATTTGGAGGGACAGAAGCAGTAACAAGACAGGAATATTCATTGAAAGTGAGCAGCAAGAAAAGGAGATAAATGGGAAAGGGGGTGCTGAAAGGAGGATGCCAGAAGCAGGGGGGCACAGGGGGCCAAAGCAGCCAGGGGGGACCCCGTGCCAACAGCTACCACACCACGGGGGTGATGACACAAAGGGCAGTCCGGGGATGTGCACTACGTAGCACCCAGCATGCCAGGGGCAGGGGTCGACAGCTCAGTGTTCACACTGGGGGCCGGTTGCTGTTCTGTTAGGACGTGGAGTCGTGTGGGGCATCTGTGCACGGCCAGTGAAGGAGGGGAGGCAGGTCCCACAACAGCCTATGGCACGTGTGCACAAAGAATGCGCGGACACCTGCGGGGGCTGACCACCACAATGGGAATCTCAGGTGTTCCTGGGACCCTGCATTCCGTGTGACCTTTCCTGCTCCACACTGTTCCGTACCGTTTCATTTCTTAAAACTGCGTTTATACCGTTTGCAAAAAGCAAAGCTGCTTTCTTAACGTTAAGGACGTCAAGTAAAACAAGGTTTGAACTGAAGGAGGATGGCCAGACTGGGTCAACGAGGGGCCGCAGGTAAGCTGGGCGCAAGGCGCATGGAGGAGGTGGAAGGAAAGCGAGGGGAAGATGAGGGAGGCATCGGTCCACGTGCAGGCGAGGTGACCGTGTGGGCAGGGGACCCGGGGCCGAGGCACGGAGGGGGGGGCAGCGTCCGCTCGGCGCCTGCTTTGGGCCGCGTGCTCGCTGCGCTGACAGGTCAGCCGGGCACGAACGGGAGCGTCGGCCGGGACGCGACCCCAGCGCCGTCCCTCCAGCGCTCCTCCGGGCTCCTTCAGCGGGGCCTGCGGGCCGAGGCCTCGCTGACCGCCGCCCAGCCCCACGGCGAGGCGCCGGCCGCGCGCCCTTCACTCACCCAGGGGAGTGACTCTGATCTCGGGCATCCTGCCGGGCGCACCCACCAAACCGGCGGGATCTCCGCAGCCCGACCAGGCCTCCGCCTCTCGCGACCCCGACTCGCGGCGACACACTGCGCAGGCGCAGCCCCCCACAGCTTCCGGTGCGCCTGTCCGAAACCGGTTCCGCTCGTCGGGCCTCCTGATTGGGTGGCTGACAGCCAATCCCGGGCGGCAGGGTAGGCACGGGGGCGGAAAGGGTTGTGGGACCGGCGGCCGCAGCGCAGGTGAACCGGGGGCGCAGGTGAGCGGGGAGCGGCGGGCTCGGGCCTGCTGCAGGAGAACCGAACCGAGCCCAACCGAACAGGGCGGGCAGGGCTGGGCAACGCCGAGGGGCCGGGCGCGGGACGCCGGCCCCGGGAGGGGGCGGCCGACACAGCTCCCACGCCCGCCCAGGCCCCGGGACCCTAACCCATCTCTGGGTTGCAGCTAGAGGAAGACCTGCCCAGGACCGGGGCTTCACCCTCCCGGAGCCCCTGGTCCCAGCCTTCCCAAGCGAGACCTGCAGGACTTCCTGGACAAGGCCCTTCTCGCACCCGCTGGGCCTGGGGTTGAGAGGGTGGGTGCCCTCTTCTCCTGGGGGCCTTTCAGGCTATCAGCCACAGGGCTTGGGTGCTCAGGCTGCCCTTCTCCTGCACCCTGACCTTGGGCCGTGGCCTACCCCTGGGGGAGCCTTGGCGGTGCCTTGCATCACCTTACCAGAGCTGGCAGGCTGTCCATCCCCAGCTGCACAGCCACTGCCTTTCCTGTTGTCCCCAAGCTCTAAAAAGCTCCTGACAGCTCCTGTTTGGCCGCTGGGTCAGGTTCTGGCAGGAAGGTCAGGCCCACAGGATGACTGGTGGCCAGGAAGGTAGCCCTGAAGGCCTCAGAAACCATCTACTCACTGAACAGAAAACTAAGGCCCTGAGAGAGGGGAGGGCCATGCCAGAAGTCTCTGGAGCATCGTCTCCCTGAGGCCAGGCACGGCTGTTCCCTACACCAGAAGACAGGGTGGGCTCACCTCTGGGGACTCCACCTGATGCCAGGCATGTGGTCCGACCTGTGGGGCCTGCAGGGCCTCAGTACCCACTGGGCCTCATCAAACACTCCTGGCGGCCTGAGTGTTGGGCAGGGCAGGGTGTGCTGGCCCATTTTCTCCAGACATGAACAACCAAGTTTTAGGACAGTGAGTGACTTGCCCACAGAGTGGAAGGCAGAACCTGCACGGGCACCCAGGTACCCTGCTCCTGGCTGGGGCTCTCACCACCGCGTGGCCAGCATCCCTGCTTGCCGGGAGCCCTGCAGGACTCCCACGCCCAATGGGGTAAGAGCTTCTCCCACACAGTGAGCTGCAGCTGAGTCTCCAGGGCCCATCAGAGCAGCACCCAGGGGCAGCCCAGAGGCACCCATTTAACCTAAAGGCACTTGGATATTTGTGGAGTGATTCTATGAATGCATGCAGGATCCGGAGCAGGACTCTGGCCTGGGGCACTTCCCGAAGATTCCCTGGGGGCTGGGGGAGGCCTTCTGGTTATCTTCAGAATATGGAAAGAATTTTGGCCCAAATACCCTTCTGCATGTGGCATGTACAGTTTAAGTAGGGGCTAAAAATTTGGTGTCTGTCCATCTGTCCAGCAAATGCTGATTCCGCAGCCTCTGCTCTGACTTTGGGGATGCGGCAGTAGCCAGAAGAGTGTGGCCTGCCAGCCATGCTCCAACCCTCCCAGCTCGCTCACTCCACTGTCTTTCTCCATAGTATCTATTCTCTGTCACCTTCCATGCTAGAATTTCCTGTCCTTGTTATTGTCTGTTCCCGCCCCCCAACTAAAATGTCACTCCTTTGAGGCAGGCTCTTTGTCTCACACACAGTGCACCAAAGTGCCCAGAAGAGCACCTGGCTCTGGGTGGGGACTCAGCAAGTATTTCCCCAATTAAGTAAAAATGCATATACTCCAGTGAGAGAGACCAACAGTAAATAAGCAAAAAGGCCCAAGTGCAGATGTCCGCTTCAGATGAGATTTGGCTTAGTGATATGGCAGAGACTGAGGCAGGGAGGCCGATGCTGAGATCTGTGGGCCGAGCAGAGGGCACAGCAGGGTCAGTCGCTGTGACAGCGTGTGTGGCCCGAGCAGAGTGAGGTGGTCTCCTAGGGGACCAGCCTGGGGACGAGGCTTACCGAGGGGGGCAGTGGAATCTCAGCTTCTCCTTTCTCACTGCCCCTGCCCCCTAACCCAATAAGACCCGAGGAGCGAGCTGACCGACAGCAGGACAGCCCGATCTGCGTGGTCCAGTTCCTGGGGAAGAATGGATAACCTGGAGTCCGACTTCAATCTGAAGAGCGTTCTGGTCAGTTTCAAGCAGTGTCTCAACGAGAAGGAGGAGGTGCTGCTGGACCACTACCTCACCGGCTGGAAGGGGCTGGTCAGGTACGTGCAGGGGCCCGTCTGGGGGCAGGGCTTTCTGGCCACACTGCCCACACATGCCCTCTGCCCGGCACGTGCTGACCAGGCTCCTGCCTGCCCGGGGCTGGTCAGCCGTTGTCGCTCACCACCGAGCCCTGAGCCCTCTGGTCCAGGTGGGAGTGGGGAGCCATCTCCCCTGCACCCCCGCTGAGCGCCAGCTTCCCTCCATGCAGGTTCCTGAACAGCCTGGGCACCATCTTTTCCTTCATCTCCAAGGATGTGACAACCAAGCTGCAGATCATGGAGCGGCTGTGTGGCAGCCCACAGCAGGAACACTACCACAGCCTGCAGTCCATGGTGGCCTATGAGGTGGGCAACCAGCTGGTGGACCTGGAGCGGAGATCCCGCCACCCCGACTCAGGCTGCCGGACCGTACTGCGGCTGCACCGCGCCCTGCGCTGGCTGCAGCTCTTCCTGGAAGGCCTACGCACCAGCCCTGAGGATGCACGCACTGCCGTGCTCTGCACCGACTCCTACAATGCTTCACTGGCTGCCTACCATCCATGGGTCATCCGCCGGGCTGCCACCGTGGCTTTCTGCACGCTGCCCGCACGCAAGGTCTTCCTGGAGGCCATGAACGTGGGGTCCCCCGAGCAGGCTGTGGAGATGCTGGGTGAGGCCCTGCCCTGCATTGAGCATGTCTACGACATCTCCCAGAAGCTCTATGCTGAGCACACCCTGCTGGACCTGCCCTAGGGGCCAGTGGGCCCAGGCACAGCAGCCTCCCTTTCTCCAGAGCGGGGCTGCGCACTGCAGGCCTGTCAGCCCCACTGTGGGGATCTCTTGATGCTCCACGAGTGGGACAGTCACTGCCCTCACTGCAAGCTGAGCTTGTCGGGAGCTGCTGCCCAGCATGGCCCTCAGGCTGCGCCTCCAGCCTGCCACGCACAGTTGCAGACAGGTGGTGACAGAGAAGGGCTACACTCTGCCCAGGGCCATTTTAGCTTTACCTGTTGCCAAGCTACAGGTGTGTCCAGGCAGGCCGCATCTTGGTTGGTGAAGTGCAGAAGGCAGGTGGGTGGGGGCAGGATGGCATGCATGCAGAAGCTGAAGAAGCTGCCTCAGCTGTGGGTCCAGTCACTAGTCCCTGGAGGGTAGAGGTTCCATCCTCTTCACCAGCCAAATGGCCCAGTTGGGACCAGGATGCGGTGTCTGTGCCCAGGTGCCTCAGGCTGCTTGTACTGGGCAGGCTGTCCCCAGGACATGGCAGGACCCCATTGGCAGCAGGGCCCTGTGGGCTCTCCTGCCCCCCACCTGCTTGTTGGCTGGGGCCCACGTGCCCTCGGCAGGGAAGACCTGCTCTGTGACCCTGTTCACGTGTCAGTTGCCTCCTACAGCCACGCGTACGCCCGGGCAGCTGCCTGGGAGTCGCACAGCACAGCCTTGCAGCCCTGGAAGTCAGGACTCCACTGGGCCGGGGCCGGGCCCCCTTCCAGCATCTGCAGGACGCTGTGCCTGTTGCCTGCCCTTGCTGCCTCGTTCCACAGAACTCAGGAGACCCAGGGTGACAGTGCGGGGGGGCGCCTGGGCCCCTCTGCCCCGATGGCAGGCTCACGGAAGGCTGTCATCCGCTGCTTGAGGGCCCAGCCTCTCCCACAGGCTCTTTACTGTGAGCCCTGGACCTTGGGTACCAAGGGGACAGTGTCCACTGTGCAGCAGACGTGCCCAAGTGTGAGCTTATGGGGACCCTTGGAAACTAATACAGTTGATGGCTTTCCCAGCATAAATAAATTACACTCCCAGAACTAGGCACTGTGCTCCAGGAGGGGCAGTCAGGGAAGTTGGGTTGCGCCAGGCACCTACTGACCAAGGGGCTGAGTGAGCCCCCACTGCTGTGTTCACAGGGCAGCATCGACCATGGCGACACAAGGCACACCTCAGGCAGCGAGGGACAGGCCTCAGCTTGGCTGCCCCAACCCCTGCCAAGGTCTACGTTATCCCCATTTTATAGGCAGGAAAACAGAATCGCCCAAGGGGCTGGGATGCAAGGGCAGGTCTGAAGCCAGCTGTACACCCAGTGGAGAGAAAAGACCCACCTAGGCTGCAGCCACACGGGAGCAGGGGATTTGCTGTGTCCTGTGACAGTGGCCCTGATGGGACGTGTCAGGCAGGTTCCTCTGTGACACTCTGCCCAATGTCACTGAACAGGGTGTCCAACACCAGGCCACCTCCAGAGCTGTACCCTGACCACCTCTGCCTCACACCCAGCAGGGCCCCGAGCCCCATGGGTGCCACCAGAGGCCAGTGACTAGGAGGGACTGGTGTGGGGGGACAGCCGGGCATCCACACAAGTCTGCCAGAGCAAGCTGTGTGTGCATGCAGACACGGTGCAATGCACCATGCAGGTGACATGTTACATGCATGTTCTGAGCATTCCCTGCGTTGTGGCCCTTCCCATGGGTCAACAGGACAGGCAAGACCGAACCTCAGAAGGCTGTAAACTCCAGGTCGCTGGAAGACACCCCCCCCAGGGGTGTGACTAGCCACCCTCAGTTCCTCTGGGCGCACAGGGCACCCTCACCCCCAAGCTGTGTCAGGGAGGCCTCTAGGCCCAGGGACACTGGTCCCTGGGTACCCAGGGGTTAGGTGGGGTCTGCCCATCCTTCCAGCTGGCCCTGCACACACCTGGTGCTGACACCACTCCAGGGCCCGTTTGGTCAGTACTTTTCCTCCCTCGTTTGCATGTGCCTTCCTGCAGGCCCAGCTGTGAGCTTTGTTTTCAGGGGCGCTGGTTGCCCCCCGTGCCCACAGCCAGCCGTGGAGCTCCTGAAGCTTCTCCATCCCAGATCCCCAAGGTTCACCGTTCCCGGGCAGTCTGAGAGGCCACAAACCCCACCCCAGGACCCCTCCCAGGGTTCACGCCAGGCTGGCCACCCAACCACCGTCCTGGCTGGCCTGCCTCCTGGGCCTCCAAATGGAGCCACTCCTGCAGCCCCACCCCAAGTGCTGACAGTGCCTCACGCTTTGTGCCCACTGCCCAGGGCACTGGCACCTCTGCAGGCAGCTAGGAACCCCAGGACCCTCTGCCAGGGGTCCCTGGGGTCTTCCTCCTCCCAAGAATGGGGTGGGTGCTGAGGGGCTTAGACATGACGGGTAACAAAGTCATGGTCAGTGGCTCCTCAGAGCCTGCCTATCTGGGTCACTGTGCCCAGAGGGCCTGGTGGCGGCATCAGGATAAAGGAGCCCAAGGTGTGCAAACCCACAGGCCTGGGAGATTGAGGATATTTCCAGGGGCCCCAGGCTGGGCAGGTGGGAACAAATGAGAGTTTTGCTAAACAAATCTCCCCACCCTCCTGCACTCACATATCTGGGCCCCCACCTGGTTTGCCCACTGCCATCCCTGCTGGATGCTGCCGCCTGCCATGCCAGGCCTGGCTTTCCTGGCCCTTGCAGCTCTCCTTGGCCTTGGGGCAGGGACGCCGCTGTGCCTGTCCCGGCAGCTCAGGATGCAGGGGGACTACGTGCTGGGCGGGCTCTTCCCCCTGGGCTCTGCCGAGGATGCTGATCTGAGCAGCAGGATGCAGCCCAGCACCACAGTGTGCACCAGGTAGGAGACCAGCGTGGAGCTTGGGTGGCGCCGGTCGGGGTGCTCCCAGTGGGGATGAGGTGTCAGCTTCCTGCAGCCCCGCATGGCCACAGGTTCTCCGTCCTTGGCCTACTCTGGGCACTGGCCATGAAGATGGCCGTGGAGGAGATCAACAATGCGTCAGCCCTGCTGCCGGGGGTACGGCTGGGCTACGACCTCTTTGACACGTGCTCAGAACCTGTGGTGGCCATGAAGCACAGCCTCACATTCGTGGCCAAAGCGGGCAGCCACACCATTGCTGCACACTGCGATTACACGCAGCACCAGCCCCGCGTGCTGGCTGTTGTCGGGCCCCACTCGTCTGAGCTCGCCCTTGTCACCAGCAAGTTCTTCAGCTTCTTCCTTATGCCTCAGGTGTGCCCCTCCCCCTCATCACCTGCTCCCCACTAGACCCGTCCATGGGAGCCCCTGTGTCAGCAAGCTCCTCCCGGCCACTGCAGGTCAGCTACGGCGCCAGCACGGACCGGCTGAGCAACCGGGAGCTGTTCCCGTCCTTCTTCCGTACTGTGCCCAGCGACCGCGTGCAGGCGGTGGCCATTGTGGAGCTGCTGCAGGCGCTCAGCTGGAACTGGGTGGCCGCGGTGGGCAGTGATGACGAGTATGGCCGGCAGGGCCTGAACCTCTTCTCCAGCCTGGCCACCTCCCGGGGCATCTGCATTGCCCACGAGGGCCTGGTGCCGCGGCTGGGCGCCAGCAGTCTGCAGCTGGGTGCTGTGGCGGGCGTGCTGCAGCAGGTGAACCGGAGCAGCGTGCAGGTGGTGGTGCTCTTCTCCTCCGCGCGCGCTGCCCACACCCTCTTCAGCTACAGCATCCACGGCAGGCTCTTGCCCAAGGTGTGGGTAGCCAGCGAGGCCTGGCTAACCGCGGACCTGGTCATGACCCTGCCCGGCATGTCCCAGGTGGGCACTGTGCTTGGCTTCCTGCAGCAGGGCGCCCCAATGCCTGAGTTCTCATCCTACGTGCAGACCTGCCTGGCCCGGGCTGCCGACCCCACCTTCTGTGCCTCGCTAGACGCTGAGCCGCCGGGCTTGGAAGAGCACGGGGTGGGGCTGCGCTGCCCCCAGTGTGACCACATCACACTGGGGGACGTGTCCGCCGGGCTGCTGCGTCACCAGACCTTCACTGCGTACGCGGCCGTGTACGGTGTGGCTCAGGCTCTCCACAACACGCTGCTCTGCAATGCCTCGGGCTGCCCCAGACGGGAGCCCGTGCGGCCCTGGCAAGTGAGGGCGTGGCACCCTGCCAGCACCTGCATGCAGCCTGGGCCACCGGGTGTCCCCAGAAGCGATGTTGGCGGGGTGTCTGAGCTGGAGGCTGCCCTTGGCCCATCCCATCCACTGCCTCAACCCTCTCACCAGCTCCTGGAGAACATGTACAACATGAGCTTCCGCGCACGTGGCCTGGCACTGCGGTTTGACACCAGTGGGAATGTGGACATGGACTATGACCTGAAGCTGTGGGTGTGGCGGGACCTGGTGCCTGAGCTGCGTACCGTGGGCACCTTCAGTGGCCGCCTGCAGCTCTGGCACTCCCGTATGTACTGGCACACTCCAGGAAATAAGGTGAGTGTGGGGCCGCCTGTCCACGGACACACAGCAGCTCCCTTGTGGCCAGGAGCAAGCTGTGGCTTGACTGGAGGGCCTGAGGGCTACCTCAGGACTTGGATGGGTGCACCCACCCTTCTGAGCCCTGGGGCCCCGTGCCAGGAGCCCGTGTCCCAGTGCTCCAGGGAGTGCAAGAAGGGCCAGGTGCACCGTGTGAAGGGCCTCCACTCCTGCTGTTATGATTGTGTGGACTGCAAGGCAGGCAGCTACCTGCACAGCCCAGGTGAGCCCCTCAGGTGGGGGGGCCCCCAAGTCCCTGAAGCATAAGTTGGGGAAGGGGCCACAGGATCAGGAGCATGTGGCCGGGCAAGAGCCCCAGCATGTCCTGGCCCCGCTCAGAGAGTGGAGCCTGACCCCCCAGCATCCCCTCTCTTCCTGCACCACAGATGACCTCATTTGCACCCAGTGTGACCAGGACCAGTGGTCACCAGACAGGAGCACACGCTGCTTCCCTCGGCGGCCCAGGTTCTTGGCATGGGGGGAGCCCGCCATGCTGGTGCTGCTCCCGCTGCTGGGCCTGGCCCTGGGCCTGGTGCTGGTGGCCCTGGGGCTCTTCATCCAGCACCGGGACAGCCCACTGGTCCAGGCCTCAGGTGGGCTGCAGGCCTGCTTCGGCCTGGCCTGCCTGGGCCTCGTCTGCCTCAGCGTCCTCCTGCTCCCTGGCCAGCCCAGCCCCACCAGCTGCCTGGCACAGCAGCCACTGCTCCACCTCCCGCTCACTGGCTGCCTGAGCACACTCTTCCTGCAGGCAGCTGAGATCTTTGTGCGGTCAGAGCTGCCGCCAAACTGGGCGGACATGCTACGTGGCTGCCTACGGGGGCCCAGGGCCTGGCTGGCGGTGCTGCTCGCCATGCTGGTGGAGGCGGCACTGTGTGCCTGGTACCTAGTGGCTTTCCCTCCAGAGGTGGTGATCGACTGGCGAGCGCTGCCCACAGAGGCCTTGCTGCACTGCCGTGTGCACTCCTGGATTGGCCTTGGCCTGGTGCATGCCGCCAACGCCACACTGGCCTTCCTCTGCTTCCTGGGCACCTTCCTGGTACAGAGCCCACATGGCCACTACAGTAACGCCCACGGCCTCACCTTTGCCATGCTGGCCTACTTCATTACCTGGACCTCCTTCGTGCCCCTCTTTGCCAATGTGCACGTGGCCTACCAGCCTGCCATGCAGATGGGCGCCATCCTCCTCACTGCCCTGGGCATCCTGGCCACATTCCACCTGCCCAAGTGTTACCTGCTCTTGTGGCGGCCAGAGCTCAACACCCCTGCATTCTTCCTAGAAGGCAGGCCTGACAATGCCAGAGGACAGGGTGGCAGTGGAGGTGGGGAGGGAACTTAGCAAAAATGAGTGACCCCTGACCTGGTGACCTCACCCCAGTGAATCCAGACCTAGCTGACCAAGTCCCTACACAGCAACCCCCAAACTGTGCTGAACTCTGCTGAGACCTCACCTTCAGCTCTAGATCCTGACCCCAAGCTGACTGCTGACCTTGACCCCACAGTGGCCCTGGGGCCTGCAGCACACAAGAGGAGCCCCAGCCCCATGGGATCGCACCACCTTGGGTCACAGAGAGCCAGGCTCTGTCTCTGAGCCCCGCTGCTCTGGAGAGACCCAGGGAAGGTTCCTCAGGGCAAAAAAAGGGTCCCCATTTTTGCCCTGAGGTTCCCCAGAGGTTAGGGAGCCCCCAGCCACTCCTTTAAGGCCAAGCTGGACGTCGCTCCTGTAGCTAGCCCCAGCATGGGGTTCCCAGCCAGCACCCCTCCAAGCATCACAGGAGAGGGGGGGGGGGCTGGGCAGTCCTGGCCATGACCTGACTGTGGGCCTGAGTGTAGGACAGGAACGTGGGCAGAGGGCTGCTCAGGGGGAGGGGGCAGCCAGCTTCCTTCTCTTTCCCTGGCCTGGCCTGAGCAAGTGGACCAGGTCAGCTAGACGTCAGCACTGGGGACAGAGCCCAGGCAGGGTGAGGGGTAAGCACCACGGCCACCACCCACCGCTGGACCCCAGGAGCAGGGAGCCAGCACCACGGACAGAAGGCTGCCCTCCAGGACCCCACCAGCAGCCAGCACCGAGGGCAGAGCCTTGTCAGTGGTCTAGGACCCAGAGGACATGGGCCAGTGCTGGGTCAGCCCTCAGCCAGGCTCTGGGGAGCCTGCATGTGCCCCACACCCACCTCCTGAGGCAGCCCAGCGGGAGCAAAGGGACACAGGCCACACGTCAGTCCCATAAAATTAAATGCTTTAGTGTTTAAAATAGCATTTACACAGAAGCAGCTCTATTAACTATCCGGAACGGACTCTCGACTTGGTATCTACAGCTCAGACATGTGCAGGCCAGAGATGCCAGGGAAGTGGCGTGCGTGGGTGGACAGCAGGGGAGGGTGGGCCCCCAGGCGGGCCACCCCTACTCCCCTGGACCCGGCCCCTGTGGCAGTGTGCGTCTGTGCCCCTTGCCCTCAGGGTCACACTCCCCCTCTCCCACCTCCCCCACACTGACCCTCCCACACACCCAGACACAACCTGTGCCCAGCACTGACTGACACCCGGCAATGGGAGCGGGCATAAAAACAACTCTGCTCTAGCCTGTTAACGGGGCTGACTTGGCCACCACCTCCCTCAGAGCACACAGGCCAGGCAATAAATAAATAAATTAGATCCTTACCCAGGGCAGCCACAGAAGGGCCTGCGGGTGCTGATTCCACCCCCAAGAGAGTGCCTCAGCCTGGGCAACATGGGTGAGGCCTGTGAACCAGACAAGGAGGGGCGCCCAGGCCCAGGGCCCACTTGTCATCTAAGTGTTGGGCCCCACGCTCAGCCTTGTGGGCAGGTGGGGGGATCCCTGAGGCCCACCCCAAGGGGTACAGGGCAGGCCTGCCTGAGCACCGTTGACGAGTGAGGCCCCCGTTGCTGTCTGACGGACACACGCTGCTTTGGCTGGGAGGACACCTGCTGCCTCAGCCCACTCCCACTGCCCTAGACCCGGGGAACCCTACGATGGGCCTGGACCCCACGGCACAGCCCACCGCGTGTGGAAGCACAGGAGCGCCTGACCCAGGCCAGTGGCCTCTCAGGTCTGCCCACATAAGCCCCAGGTGCAGCACCCTCCTGAGGGACCACAGAAGCCCATGGCAGGCCGAGCCAACGGCACTCTCTGTCCTGGGTCACATGATGTCGACGAAGAACTCACAGGGATTCCCCATGGCCTTCTGGAAGGACTGGCGGCTGCCTGTCAGCTCCGGGGGGACAGCGGCCAGCTCCCGGACGGGCGGCCCCCCAGGCGGCCCCCCCACCACCGAGTACGCCTTCGTCATGGGGTGCAGTGGGGGGAGCCCCGGGGCAGCGGCTGAGGCCTGGCTGCGTGGGCTGCCACCCCGACTGAGCTGGCTAGCTGGACGCTCCCACCAGCTGCTGCCACCCGCCCCACTCGGGGCTGTGTGGTCTGATTCGCTGCCACTGCCCCCGGCTCCGGCCGCCCGGCGCTCCTTCTCGAGGCCTAGGGCCCGCCGGCTGCTCCCGCCTGTGCTCCGGGTGGACCCACTGCTTTTGCTTCCTGTGGTCGAGAACGGATGAGAGGGATGGGATGGTCAGTGTCAGGCCTCACTACTTCCAAGACAGCCGGCCGCTGCGAGGGCAACCGGGGGCAGAGCCTGGTGGTCCCGAGTAGGGCAGGGTGGGAGGGGACAGCCATGCAGAGAGAAGGCCTGGGCTGGCCCCACTCGGAGAAGCACGAGCAACTGCAGCACGTAGAAGGGTAGCAGGCAGGTAGGGACGCTCCGGGGTCATCTCGGTGCCCCCACACCTCACCCACTGCCTGAACTGAGAGCCTGGTCTTACAGCTGAAAACTGAGGCCTGGCACTCCCATCGGCCATCCCAGGCTTCCCCACCTGCCTTCCAACTGACCCGGGGCCCTGGCCAGCTACTCCGCTCGGTCCCCTCCTGGGGTCCCAGGAAGAGGGGGCGCCTGAGGGAGCTGCTGGCTGGGGGCGTGTCAGGAGGGACGCGGGACAGGACCCTGGCTTACCGGCCCGAGGGTCCACCGCTAGTCCTTCAGTCTAAGGCTTGCTCAGCACAAAGCAAGGGATAGCATGAGTTACACACCAGGCACAGCCCACGTACCGTGCCCACCACCCTCTGGGCCTGTCCAGGGTCCACAGGTGCCCATCCAGCTTCCCCTGGGGCACTGCTGCCCTCCGACCCACCCTCCTCTCCCATCCCTTCCCGGGTCCGCTGGGCTGACTGCCTGGCTTCTCCTCAGACCCTGTGGGCACACACCCGCTGGCCTCACTGGCCCCCCCTCAGCCACAGGCCACTGATCCTCGAGGACGCCCCCTCCCCACAGTGTGTGACCACAGTTGTCTGGAACCATCCGCCTCTGGCTCCCTGTGGAGCTGCAGGTGCCTGCAGAGAGGTGTCTGTCCTCCACGGGGTCCCGGCACCCCTCTGTCTCTCCACCCCTGGGCCACCACACCCCCACGCCCTCATCCCCACACCACTCCCAGGCCTCTTGCATCTGCCATGCTTGGAACACCAGCCCCACACAACACAACCAGCAAAGCCCGGGGGTCCCTTCTTCCCATCTCCCTCAACAACTCACCCCTTCCAGAAGGTGCCCACCCAGGGCCTGAGCAGAGAGCAGGAGAGCACGTACAGGGCAGGGGGCGGCACGCGGGGCGAAGCCAGGCAGGGCCAGAGCAGGTGGGGCGCCCTGGGAGCTCTCACCTTCACTCTGCTGGCTGCCAGCACTGCCACTGCCATAGCTGAAGCTGGGGTCCTGGTAGGCAGGCGGGAAGCAGGGCGGGGGCCCCGGGTACTGGTACGAGTAGCCCTGACCCAGGGTCCAGGGGGCAGCCAGGTGCGGCAGCGGGGCCAGTGTGTCCTGATCCGAGGTCCCACTGGAGCCGCTGTTGAGGTTCAGGGCTGCGAGATCTGGGGGGAGGACAGGTAGGTGAGGCGGGGCGGGTGGCCCTCTGGGGACCCCAGCCCCACAGCCCCACTCACTGCTGCTCAGGTCCCCGAAGACGTAGTAGCACTGCTCAGAGAAGGTGATCTTGTTCACCGTGTGCCGCAGGAAGCCGCGCTTCAGCATGCCACCGGCGTACTTGCGGGCCTCCCGCCGCTCCTTGAAGCCCTCCACGTGCGCGTACAGCCAGTCCACCACGTCTGCCCCTGGCCCATGCCACGCGTCAGGCCCGGAGCCAGGGCGCCCTGACCCCCAGCAGCCCCAGGGACCACCTACCAATGACAGCGTTGGCAATGGTGATCTTGAGCCACATGCGGTCTCGGATCTCCAAGCCCGAGTCCGGCAGCTGCATGACGCGCACGACAGCACCCATGTCGCTCTTCACTGACAGCGGAGCCTCCACCGGCTCTGCAAGGCACGGCCCCTCCTCAGCCCCCAGCGGCTGGCCAGCAGGGGAGGGCTCGGGATGAACCCAGGCCACGCTGCTGCTCCTGCTCGGCAGGGCCCCAGGCATTGTCTGCCACTGGGGAGCCCAGGCCACAAGGCCAAGGCCATGGGGCCCACCCCTGCCATAGGAAGGGCCATAGGGTGGGCAGCGGGTGAGGGACAGCGGGCCTGCAGGCCCTGGATCAGGATCCTTGCCCAAGCCAGGGTGAGGCCACCTCACCCTGCAGACTCCCCATGGGTGGAGGATAAGGCCTAGCCCCCAGCCCGCCCTGCCAGCTCAGCGCAGTGGGTCCGTGTTAGCTGCAGGAAGGCAGGGTGGGAGCACTAGCTCAACTGTCCCTCCCCACCCCACACCAGCAGACCCCTGGGCAGGGACCCAAGCGCTGACCCGGCCCCTCTGGGCATCTCATCCCACAACACAGCAAGCGGGAAGAGAGTGTGCACGAGGGCACACGTGTGTCGGTGTGAGTCAGGCGTGCACGTGGCGGCACCGTGTGCATCCACACGGGCCCTGGTGGCAGCAGACGCTGGAGGCCGGGGCGGCCCTGGGTGCGACTGCCTGTTGTCCCCTCGCCCGGCGCCTCGGTCCCCTGCCACTTACGCGGAGCGCCAGGCACAGAGCTGGTCAGGGAGGAGGAGCTGGTGCGTGTGACGGCGCTGGAGCAGGGGCTCGTCCCGGGGCGCGGCGGGGCTCCGGTCAGCGCCACCGTGTGGGACAGCCAGGTGGCGGGGTCGATGGGCCGAACCGGGTCAGCTGGGCGGCGGCCGCGTGGCGACAGACAGGTGATGGGCAGACGGGTGGACGGACGGTGGGAGAGGGTGTGGCGCAGGGCGGAGGAGAAAGGCCCTTCAGGCTGCGCGGGGGCCCCCACCGCCCCCCACAGTCCTGCAGGGCCACTCACCCCTCGGGACGGTGAAGTAGCTCCGGGGGGTCGGGTCCCAGCACTTGGCCACCGTGAGGCTGACGGGCCTGCAGGGCGGGGCTGGTCACACAGGCCGCGGCCCCACCCGGCCGCCCCCCGCGGGCCCCGGGCCTCACCCCGTCCGGGCCACGATCTCCCGCAGCGCCCGCACGGCGTCGTCGTTGCTCATGTTCTCGAAGTTGACCTCGTTCACCTGGGGGGAGAGGCGCTGAGCGGGGCGCGGGGCCCCCGGCCGCAGGCCCGCCAGCCCCCGGCCGCACCTGCAGCAGCATGTCCCCCGGCTCGATGCGGCCGTCGGCGGCCACCGCCCCGCCCTTCATGATGGAGCCGATGTAGATGCCGCCGTCGCCGCGGTCGTTGCTCTGGCCCACGATGCTGATGCCCAGGAAGTGGTGCCTCTCTGCGGGGGCGGGGGGTGAGCGGGCGCCCCCGAGGGCCCCGCCCGGCCCCGGGGACCCCACGGGGGCCTCACCCATGTTGAGCGTGACGGTGATGATGTTCAGGGACATGGTCGAGTCCGTGATGCTGCTGAAGGAGGAGGCCTGCGGGGGACCGCGGGTGAGGGGCGCGGGCGGGGCCCCGGGCCAAGGGCAGACCCCGCCCGGCGCGCCGCACCACCTACGCGCTCCGCCGGTCGCGCGCGCTGCTTCCTCCGCCGGCGCTTGTGCTTCCGGAGGAGCCGCGACGAGGTGCTCCGCTCCGTGGAGCTGCTCAGCCTGCGGGGGCGGGGGTCAGGCCGCGCGCTGCGGGGC